TTTTCTAAATTATTGTTTTCTTTAGTCTCCGGCCCCAATTAAAAATTATTTGTATGTATTTATATGCGAAATTATACCCCGACTTACGCGAATTCGACTTACGCGGTTACCACTCGGTCCCACCTATCGCGTAAGTTCGGGGTATTACTGTATTAATAAAAATAATAATAATAATTATTATTATTATTATTATGTAATGTATAATAAATTTATTATACAATACTGTATAAAAATTTATTATACATAATAATAATTATTATTATTATGTATAATAAATTTTTTACGTATAATAAATTAACATAATAGCACAATTTAATAATTACAGTATATTATTGTCAGTTTTGTTCCTTGTCATTTATTTAACTAAATATCAAACTCAGCGGTTTTAAAACACTTAATAAAACTTTAAACACCTTCCATCGCTGAGAAATGTTTATTTAATAAAATACGTTCGAACTCATTTACACCCGAGGATGGTTTATTCCATGAGGCTGAGATATTAGTGTTTTATTAAATAAACATTTTTCAGCGATGGAAGATGTTTAATGTTTTATTGTCATTTATTTTATCCATAAACCTGGTTTTATGGATAAATAAATGACACTTAATAAAAGGTTTTGGGTTTAAATAAAAGCTTTTTCATTCTTACGATAAAATTCATATTAAAAATTATGAAATCGAACTCGAAGGTTATATATCTTTCAATAAAAAAAAAAAAAAAACATTCGTCCTCACAGCGGTTCGATCTAGCGCTCTTGTAGTGATTGCAGTGCCCCTAGTGGTAACATTTGTCTCTAGTTGATTTTACAACTAGCGAAGATAGGAAGTCGAAAGACCAGTTAATCTACCAACTCTGCCTAGGCAGATCGCCCAAGTGTTGCGTTGCCATAACTAAACAAACAAACAATCTCCCTAATATACAAAAACTTCTCTACAAAATTTTAGAAATTTTCAACAAAAGACAGAAATTATTATTCAGCTTCAAAGAGGATGAACAAAATCGTCCCCCATAAATACAGAAATAACTTCATTTTTTTATTTAATTATCGATCGCCATATTTCACTTTCTTATATAAAACAGTCTGGGAAGTGAAAATTATTTTATTAAATAAATTTGAAAGAAAATTCCCCCCTTTTTTATTGTTTCATTTCACAGAATAGAAAACTGTATAAATGTTAATGAAACAACAATATAAATTTGATTAAATTGTAGAAATATAAATTTTTAAACAGTATAAATGCTTTCATTTCATTTCTATGCGGTTGAGCATACCGTACATACAAATTATGAAAAGTGAGAATCGAAGAAGATTCTATCAATGATATATAAGAAGGCACTTTATAAAACAGAGGATGTATTGTACTTCGTATTTACTTTACAAATGAATTTCAAGATGGCGAATTTGAGGGTTGATTGATGTGCTATTGACATTTAGGGGGAAAAAATTTTAAATTAGGTGTGACTAAAGGAAAGTAAGTTGCAAAATTCATCTTTCCTAATCTCATAATTACGTCTGTATTGTAATTACTGTATTTTAAAACGTCAACAGCATTAGAATTTTTATGCGTATTTTGTACAGATTTGACTTTAGAAATGGATAAACTTATAAGGTAAAACTTTTCTTTTTTTCCCCCGAATTGAATTATTAAAAACTTATTTACATATTTGTAGAAATTTGCTTTGTAGTGACAAATTGGAAAATTTGGCTTACGATGTATACCGCGAGGTAAATGGATCATTTCGTTCTGCTCCTGTAGTGATTTATCACGGTTTATTCGATAATAAAAACAACTGGAAAAGAATTGCTTCCTCTTTAGCCAATGATTTATGTACAAAGGTACACCATTTTTAAAAAAATTTTTATGCTGTTTTTAAAATAGTTTAATTTTAGAGTAAATATTTTGTGTTTGGAAATTAAATTCGGATATTCTATCTATTAATTTTCGTACTTGCTTTGTACAGAATGAACACAGTCGTTGGTTTCAAACATCCTATTATTTAAAATAATTTTATATATACTTTTCTTTATTCATATAAATAAACTAATAATAGCTATCCAATAAATAGAATCATATTTTTATATTTTTTATCATTTTCCTTTCTTATTCGTTATAAGAAAGGAAAATTATCAAAAATATTCACAGAATACAAAATGCACCTTTGTATTATCCTTCAAATGATGAGTCGTCTTATACGTCTCTCATCAAAGAATCTGAAGATAGTTTCATGTTGTACGATGTGATTCCGTTATACCAATCTTTGCTTTATGACAATAATCTTCCTGTCTTTGTCTCGTTTAAGTTTTTTCTATATTTAATAAACAGTTCATAACTAAATAAGATTTTAATTTAAATCATTTTATGTAGATTTACGCTGTAGATATGCGTAATCATGGAGATAGTCCGACATCATCCATGCTTAATCACGAAGAAAATATCAAAGATTTGAACAACTTTTTGCAAAATATTGGAGAACCAGTGATCTTAATAGCTCATAGTTTTGGAGGAACCGCAGCTATGGATTTGGCTTTCAACAAGGTACAAGATGTGTTGTATATCTTATCTTATCTTGCATATCGTATCTTTAGTTGTATACATAAATACGAATTGATGTGTACCATTAAATATCAATTGAAGTACGTTTCATTAAAGAATATTTTAATATATTTAGCCACAGCTGATTAAGAAACTGATTTTAATCGAAGCATCTCCATTGAGATGTGCAGAAAACGAAGCAAATAGAGTCCTCCACATTTTGTTCCATATGAATCGAGCCATAGCATTTATTCGCAAAAATAATTCTTTTAGTAAAGCAAAATCTATATTAGAAGAGTACTTCCGGGATAAAATAAAGGTAAGCACTACTCATATATACCAATCTTGATGAATCAAAGTAAATGCTGAGCCATCGAATCGTAAGAGCCTCTGGGCGGAAGTTGGTCATTGTTTCCGGACAAACATTTATCATACGCCAACATACATTTTCTTTAACTTAATAATCCTATCCATGGTCTGGCTATCTCATGCCAATGCCTATGCTTATTAAAACATGTATATTATTATTATTTACGTTAATTCTTTATTGTATCAAAGTTTTACGTTATTTACATTGTAGATACCCGCGCTTTATGAAATAATTGCATCAAATCTACGCGAAGATACCTTTGGCATAAACTGGAAGGTTAATGTAATGGCTGTGGAAATGGCTATAGTTCTTCATAAAATTTTTGAAAATATATATCCTTTACAAGGCGTGTATCACGGAAAAACTTTGATGATTCATACATCATCTTCGGAATTAATCGGGTAAGTACTCATTCCAGCATATTTTTCTAACATAATACGAGACGTCATATTGAATTATAAAATATAATAAAATATAATAATTCACTTAAAATTTCTCAATTTCTCCTTCGCACACTACACGTTTATTGCGGCCGGATGGCCGAACGGTCAAAATGGCAGCCTACCGCTCTGGGGAACCCAGGTTCGAATCCGAACGAGTCCCCCCGAAAAATCCCCAGAAATTTTTCGGGGGTGGTCCGTTTGGATATGTCGGTCCCCGTCCGTCACCACTCGGCGGTCCCATTGTGGGCCTGGCCGAACCCATAATGGGTTTGCAAAAAGAGGCCCTCTTAGTACCCACAGGGCGGAAAGAGTTAAAAAAAAAAAAAACACACGTTTATTGGGTTTGCGATAAACGACGCAACACATAGGCGATCCGCTAAGGGGAAGATGCCTCGCGGGAGAACTTTTTTTGGGGGAAATTACCATTATTTATGCTAGGCACGTGTAGAAAATGCAGCAAATTCCACGCGGCTAGCCCGTTGGCCGAACTCGGTACCAACTATCAATGTTCATTGGTTTGCTTCCACTGAACATTCTCGGCAGTTGGTGGGCATTTTTTGCACACAACAGTAAGACAAGATCACATAGAGGAATCAATCTTCTTTGGTAATGTAGAATCGGTAAAATAAAATATAATAAATTATATATCTAGGCCTACACTATTTCCTATCAAAAGATACGGTGGAGGAAGCCTTGACAGAACCCGTCGTCCAGATTGCCAATTTTGTTCACTTCATTAGAGCAACCAACCTCTTGCTGAGTTTCCTGTACGACTAACTTGAAACATTAAAGTTTATTCTGTTGCAGTTATAGTTGAATAGAGTTTCCTTTTTTTCACGAATTCCAAGCTTCGCAAAACACACATCTGTAGTAGCGTTGGCCATCTAAATACCGATATGTAAAACTCTTAAAATATACAGTATTTATAAAGGACTTACTCGAAGTTATATAAAATCAAATATTTTTATTCACTATTTTGCAATTTTAATTGTGGAGTTTGTTTTTGTTTGTGAAGGAGAAAAATATCAGTTTATCTTATAAAAATGAATTTCATATTCATTTCTATTATATTTGAGGTTTTTATGTATAGGTTAAGAAAGTGTTTGGTATGTGAAAACACATTTTCACATACCGATAAGAAGTATGTGAAAATTATTCTTATCGGTATGTGAAAATGTGTTTTCACATACCGATAAGAAGTGTTAATTGACATGTGAAAGAGATGTTCACCTGTTATTAATTTGTTCGATTCATCAATATGTATTGGTCAAACAGAATATGTTCTAAATAATTTTTATCTTAATTACGAAAGATGTCTAATTATTTATATTATTATTTTCAGGACAAACGATTATGAAAATTTGAGGAAATGTTTTCCGAATGTAGATTTCAAGTGCGTGGAGAGTTGCAGTAATTGGATTCACATGGAAAATCCGGATGAACTAAGCAAAATAATATATGAACAAATATCAAATAACTAACATCAGGCTGAAAACTTCACTGCGATGATTTATGTTATTGATTTCTGCACGAAATTCGACGTTCACGTTTTACAGATGAAAACTTCGGCCGCAACCTCTCTAATTCTTCTGATAACTTAGAAGTTACTTTGATTTTTGTATCATTAACAAATACGCTGATTTTTGTAAAAATTTGACTGTTCTCACCTTTTCTTTTTTAAATCGGTTGTTGAAGTGATTGTTAATATTGATTACTCCATGATCGTTACTTTTTCCAAAGAAGAAAACACTATTTTAATTAAGAAGCATATACTTGCTTCTTAACTAAAAACTTCAAAATAATATCCAGAATAAATGTCACATCTAATTAAGATCATATTTAACTGTATTATTATTTCAGCAAGTATATTTTATGACGACTCGGATTTTTCGGATACTCACGTCTTAATAATATCAACAAATACACAAAATTAAATTTTTACGTGAAATGTAAAATGTCTATTAACAGAAGCTTCTACTTATCAAAGTGGAACATTTTTCATGGAAGAAAAATAAGGAAATAAATAGGTTAATACATAACCTAACAGATGGAGTTTTAAGAATTTGGAGGTCTTATCACAACAAGGCTGACCGGAAAAATAGACTAGATGTTTTACAAAAAATTAGCCTTTAATAATCACCATCAAATTTAAGAAATGATCCTTTTTTCAGAAGAAAACGGTTGCTAGCCACACGAAAAGGTAATCATTACTCTTGTCGGCCACGAACAGGCGATTCTCACACTTGTCAGGCACGGACAATTGATCTTTACCTCTGTTGCTCTGTTGTTTTACTTGGCCTCTGTTGCTTTGTTATTGTGTTTTGTTCGTTTATGGCGCCCATTTTTTGCTAGGCGCGCGCGATGTTAATTTTTGATTTTCTTTTTATTTTTGTTCCCTAAATTCTGTTAGGCGCTCTGAATCGCATTGGAAAGCGTGAACATTGTCATTTTCATCACACTATATCTCGAATTCTATTTTTATTCATTTTTGGATTCCCCCATCGTAATGGCAAAGTTTAATCAAAATCGAGCGATCGAATTTTGAGAATGACAATTCTGTATGCCACATAGAAAAGGCTTTGCTAACGCTCCGCTTCAATTAAACTATCTCTGTTCATCACACTCTGAAAAGGTATTTAACAGTTCAAATGCTACCAAATCTGGAATGGTGACATTTCGGACTAATAACGATTTAATTTCAAAGAAAAACATATTACAATTTAATAAGATATTAAATTTAAGGGATATACATAAGTGGTAGAGAGAAAGAGTTTACATGAGATTCGCGTGGCGATAAGTACTTGTGTAGTTTGAAGGATTCGTTTGTATACCTGATGCAGGAGAGGATTCGGTTTGTCCCTTAGGAAGGTTTAATAAACGAGGAGGTTGCACGTTAGAACAGTTCTGGATAATGTTCGGGATCAGAGTCGATCGTATATCCGTTTCGGAGGCACAGAGTTAACGGTATCGGTCGAAGAACTGGCGACGAATTCCGTTATAGGACCGGGTGGAGACTTGTTGAGTCGGGTAAGGAATGGGCGGCGACTTTTTCTCCTAGAGGAACTGGCAACGACTGCCTCCTTGGCCCGTCATTTCCTATGTTAATTTAAATAAAGTATGTCGAGAATTCATGACCGATCCTTCAAGTGTTAAAGTACCTTAATATTTACTTGTTTACGTTGAATGTTACTATTGCAGTTGTTTTCTATGGGTAATGTTAGGATAACCATAGAAAATAATTTTTAAATTAAACGACACGGATATGTTTGTTTTGTAAAATTACGACGACACAACACTTGAGCGACCTGCCTACAGGGAATGCTTTACGGAAGGTGTTTTTAAGGTAACTGGCCCCTATTCGGGCGTTACAGACGTGGAGAAAACACGTACAACTCCACGTAGTCGTAGTCGTAGTCGTATTCGTTGGGCTTCAGTTACACAGACTATTGCGCCCCGTGGTGGTGAGAAGTGGCGAACGTAATGTTTTCTTCANATACAATTTTAGGTCCACAGTAATTTATAAAGATATTTCATCTTACAATTCTTAATTATTTTTTGTAAATAATAATAATACTGTAATAATAATAATTTGAATAAAATAATTTTAATGAGTACTCCAGTTGGCAACACTTTATCATTAGAGATGAATGTAAACAAGGTATGCTGGAGTATGTTTTTAAAAAAATATTTTAAATAAATATAATATTACATATTGAAATATATTAATATAAACCAATTATTTACATGTGTATCAGGTTAAAGCACATCTGTACAGTTTGCAAGTGTAAAGAAATGTCTTGAAGTATTGTTTTTGATATTTATTAGTTGTGATAAAATACCAAGTGTATAATTTATTTGTAAAATGTCACTGCATCCAGAAATTTCAACATATGGAGAACTTGAAAGTCATTATCGAGAATTATGCGAGAAAGAGGTAGGTCTAGACTATTTGTTTGATTATACGATTATGATTTTAATAATATATTGGTAATTTTCTATATAAATATCTTAGTTTAATGAGATTAAGATGCATATAACAAAATAAAGATGCATATAACAAAATAATATGTGATTGGATTAATGGGATAAGGCAATCTGCCAATTGGATATACCTTATCCCATTAATATGAGAAACTAACCCTACTTCTTCACTTATCTAACACCTATCTAAACTAGATGTTATATACGTGAAGAAAGCCAGGCTTTCTGGTTAGTGTCGTTCAGGTGTGAACCCACAACTAGTGTTCAGTTATCTTACCTTATCGGTACAATGAGACTGTTGGTACCTTATCAGAGCTGTAGGCCATACCTGTAGGAGCAAAAAAGTCAAGGAACTATACTTCTACGTGTGACCCTTTGCAAAATACAGTCCCTTTTACAGGAGTCTATAACTCTGGTGGGTGGTAAATCCCTCATTCAGAATTTACATCTTACCATTTTATACACTTGGCCACTGGTGAGTGCCATTATATATGAATTTCTTAGAAATCTCTCTGAATATTAATAGAATACAAAAGCAAAAATAGAAGTTGATCAACTGAACAACTTAAATCTAGCATTTAGTATTTCTATAAATGATTCCATATATTTTATAGGGCATATTATTACAGCTTGTCTCTTTGGCAGATGTATGTAAAACAGCTGTGGCTGTATACAACAGAAACAGTTTTTTTCCCCTGTAGAAAATGGCTATGCATATTCTATGATAAATTATCTGTCTTAATAAAATGTTGCTAATATATATATGAAATGGAAATTTTGCTAATAAGCATTAATTGGGATCAAATTTTCAAATTATTCATAATAAATAAATAAATAATGAAATCCTGTCTATCAACAATAATTAACTATTGTGTTTCATAATCAACATTAGTATCATTAGACAGGTTTTGATCTATTTATAATTTATTTTGATATTAAGTGCTATATTATTTAAAGTTATTCATAATTTTCCAATAATGTTTATTGATATTATCTACTATGAATGAACCATAATTGCCAGAGATATGAAAAAGTTATCAATGACAGGGTTTAAAAGTAAAATTTTTACTTGATATTTATGATTTTTAAAATAATTACAGCAAGTTCCCACCTAATGTGTTTAATAGGTTTTCAAAAACTGCAATGCTAAGTAAAATAACTTATAACAAAACCAATTTTACCATAGGCTAAGTAATAGTAATATAAACAAATTAGATAAGTCAGTTAATAGTATTCTAATTGGATCACATTTGCATTAAATTTTATGTTGCACATTTCTTTTGTATATTGTAATAAATGAATTTTATTAAGAATGAAATGGGTAATTAAATTCAAATAAAATTGAACTTTTAAATTTAAAAGAGTTAAATGCATACTATTTTTTAAAAAATTTACTAGAAATAATATGTATCTAACTGTATAGAGAATTAAAGTTGTAATTTCTTTGAGTGGTTTAATTAATTAATCTGTTGTATTAGTATAATCAATCTCTATTGATTGATATATGTTATAACTTCTGTTTAGTTTTTAATGAAAATATTATTTTTAAAAATTGAAGATTACATTATTTTATATAATAAATAATGAAACATTTAAACCATTATTATCCCACAATAATAATTTCCAGTTTGATCAAATATAGAAGAATATTATAATATTTAATAATTATAAATAACTCTAAATCACAATAGTATAATGTTTTAAAGAAAATAAAATGTTAGATGTTATATGAATTACTAGCAGACCCCGCCACGCCTTGTTGTGGCTCAAAATGTATCTATTATAAATGTATAACACTTCCCCCCTGGGAGAAAATTTTTCGAAAAATTTCTTCTTAGTGTACATTCTCTTGACGTACCCTATTAAAACACAATCAAAAACGCAAAAACCCCGCATCTAAAATAGTATAATAGAAGCCAAGTTTTTCATAGTAAGCCTTAATCCTGTCCCTCTCCCCCACGGGGGAATATCGAAAAATCCCTTCTTACTGTACATTCTGTTGACGTACTCTATTAAAACGCAATCAAAAACGCAAAAACCCGCATCTAAAATTTTATAATAGAAGCCAAGCTTTTCAAGGTAAGCCTTAATCCTGTCCCTCTCCCCCCAATGGGGTAATTTCGACATGTATTCGACAGCCTATGTCCACCCTGAGGTTCCATTCTAAATATTGGTGAAAGAATTTTTGAAATCGGATGAGTAGTTTTGGAGATTACCTGCTGCATACAAACTAACATACAAACATTACCTCTTTATTATATTAGTATAGATTATTTAACACATGCATTATTTAAATTCTACAGCATCTTGGTTTTTGAAAATTATATTTATTTGTTTATTAAAACCCTTTTTAATTTTTGTAATTTGTACTTGTTAATTAAAATTTTATTTTTATTTTTCAATTAAATTTCAATAAGTAAATTAATATAATAATGATTTATTTTTAGGAAATTATAAACAAGGAACTAGAAAATCTTTTAGACAGACATGTTCATGTCGAAGGAAAGATTATGTATCTTCAAAAAATGCTGTAAGATTTAATTGTTTGAGTTTGATTAACTTGACTTTTCAATATAATACATTAAATTTACAATTATATAAAAAAATAGAATATAAAATATTTATAAATAGGAATAATTAAATAATGTCAATACACCTTTAATTCCTTATGAAATTTAATTAATATTTTTGGCTATTTTTATAGCCATTAAGTCGAATTTCTTAAATAATATATGTATTTTTAAAGAATTAAATCTAATTTTAAGCAATTCTATCCAAAATAGTTTAAAGAAAAGCACATGATAATATATAAAAAATCATTAGATTACAAGTAAAAATATAAATAAAAATTTTAACTTATGTGATATATATCCAAACTGTTAAGTATAGAAAAGAATTTTATACAAATACATGTATTACTTTACATTCATTTCTTACAGGCCAAATTTACAGCTGGTATATTCTGATTCGGAACAATTAACCAATTTAATATCATTTACTTCATCATTGGCTGAAAATATAAGCAGTAAAGTCAAGAAGTTGGATCTTACAAAAGCAAGTATTATTATTTAATAAAAATAATAATATATAAAAGGAAGTTTCTCAAATGTAAAATCCAACCCAAATTGCATTTTGCTGGACTGAGAATTTTTTGCTCTGGAAAATGCTGTGTTATTACATACTAGCAATTGTTTCAACTAAAATGTTATAATTACTTATTGATATAAAGGTGTCAATAAGCAATTGTANATGCACAATATTAATATAAGTAATTTGAAAATTAGTATAAATAATAAAATTTTATGGATTTATTTTAAAATTCATTATCTATCTAAAAATCAATGTTAAAATAAATGAAATGTAGATTTTAAAATGAGCAATGCCAGGCTGCAATTTTTAATCATATTTTTAATTAATTTAATTTAAAATATATGCTCTCCACCTCAAATTAGTAGTGGCTTGCCCCTGTACATCATACTTTTCTTTTAACAATAAAGTTGTATCAGTCATCTATCTAACACTTTTCAGCAGAAAATTTTTGAATTGAAATAACATGACTTCTGGTTTGCATCGTAAGTTCATATATAGTTTATTGGGGTCTCTTGCCCCTAAGCTTTTCATATCTGGTCTCATCTTTTATCTATCTAACTCCATTCTCAAGATTAAGGAAAGACAGATGGACAACACTGGAAATTTATAGGTCTACAGTTTTTTCAAATTGCAGCCTAAATAGTCTACAGTTTTTTTTACATAAATTTAAAAAATAATCGAACATCAACATTGTTTTTATAGTAATTCTGAATTGTCTTACATGCAAATAAATATTTTTCTGTACTTGTAATTCTAACATTTCAGACTATAAAATCATTCTAATAAATCTGGATTTACTGGTTTGTTTAAATCATTGTTAATTTTTAGTTTTTAAATAGGGCTTTATCTAATTATGTACAAGATTAATGAATTTAAATTAACTTTAATAGTTTATATTTTTAATTGGTAAATCATTATTATCAATATTTGTGTCAGTACATTTTAAATTTATAATTACTTATTGATATAAAGGTGTCAATAAGCAATTGTAGATCTCATTTTAATTTTAAAATTGAAGGAAAAATTAGAAAGGAAATGAGTAATAAATAAATAGTGAAAAACAAGTTTAATTTCAAATTAAATTTTTTCATATATGTAAGCAATGTTTTATTATTTTAAACATTCTTCAAGAGATCTGTTATAATACAGTGCAAAGTCTATTAACATACTGTATTTTCCATATACATACAATATTTTTTTACAGTAGATAGAACTACCTTTCAAACCAGCATAGATATTTTTAATTTCTAATACTTTCAACCATAAAAGAGCATCTTCAGGATGTACACAATAAAGTTAAAAACAATTATCTTTTAAGGTTGAAAATACTAAAAATGTTGTGCTGGTTTGAAAGATGTTTCTATCTACTGTAAGATAGTTTAACTAATTAAGAATTCTTTTTTGTATATTTAAAATTATTTTTCATTTTTAGGGGAGAGTAACTGAATGCATGCAAAGAGTAGAAGATATTTTAGATCTTAAATTTTGTACTGATGGTGTGCAAACAGCACTTCAAAATGAATATTATGAACAGGTAGACAAATGTTTTTGAAATTTTAAATAAAGATACAAATTATAAATATGAATTTCAATATAAATATACTGTGATATTTTTATATTTTAAATTTTAGGCAGCAGCTCACATTCGTCGCTTTCTTAGTTTAGATCAGAGCGTATTAAAACGTTCCACTGCTGATAGTATTGAAGGTAACCAAAATCTGTGATATAATTATTTAAGTTTATCTCTGTAATTGATTTGTATATTTTGGAAGTAATAATTATTGTCACCATAAAATTCCTGTAGTAAAATACAGTACTATTATGAATGACACATAAACATAGTTATTTTATTAGTTGATAATTTTAGATGTTTAGATGAAAAAACTTTACAATTCGGGCTTTTTGTTTTCAATAGTTATTTTTTCATTGCTAGGAAGTAGTTTAGATGAAGCATTCTCAAAATTGCACGAAGCAGAAAATAAACTAAAGGCAATAGTATTAAGAAAATTTGATGAAGCTGTTCGAGATGAAGATATTGCTTCTGTGGAAAGGTTTTTCAAAATTTTTCCATTATTAAATCAACACAATGAAGGTTTAAGAAAATTTTCAACCTATCTATGTTCACAGGTAAAATATGAATTATGAAATTTTACTCCTAAATATTTTAGTTTTTATAAATAATTATTTATTTTTATAGATTGCAGAAACTGCACAAAAAAATTTAAAAATTGCTCAGAATATTGAAAGTAACAATAAAAGAGCAAATGTGATTTATGCTGATACAATAACTTTATTATTTGAAGGAATTGCTAGAGTTGTTGAAATTCATCAGCCTCTTATAGAAACTTATTATGGTATGTCATTTAATTTTATAATAAATAAAACGTATAAAAATTATTAAAATAATATATTATTATTCATTATTTTCTCTCTCTAAATTTCTCTAAATGGGATGCATGATTCAAAATTTTACACACATTATCAATAGTTAGTCATATAAAATTATAATAAAAATGATCATGATTTGTAATTTTGTTTTATGAACTTTGAAATAGCACATTCTTATAAATAATTATTATATATTTATTGTAATTTAATTAAAAGTTAAAATAATGCATTGTATATTTAAGAACACAAAATCTCATATAAATTAAGGTTTCTGTGTGCATTCTTTATCATTTTTAGCCAATTAACTTACTTATTATGATGATGTAGAAATATTATAATGAAGGAAATGAAAAGATAGATGTATTGTTCTAAATGAGATGAACAATATTTTAAGATCATTTCTAAATGATAACTTTTTGAAATGGATGAAATACATTTTATATTTATTATAACTATAAATTTGATTAAAAAATAATTTATAATAATATCAAAATATACTTAATTAGGATTAAAAATAACTAATAAGAATTCAGAAATAAGAAAAACACTATTTTATTAAATTATTTCTGAAGTATTCTAAGTATTCTTCAAATAAAATAGGAATTTAATTTTTATATAATTTAATTGTTTTGTATATACAGTGGATGATCGGTTAACAAACAGTTCGGATAGCAAACAAATTGGATAACGAACACTTTCACGAAAGATTTTTATGATTGAACAACGAACACTTTACTGAACAAACATAAAAAGAAGGGAAGGAAAATAATGAATACCGATTGATTTTCCCTTGTCTTCAGGTAACAATTTGAAACCTTTCGAAGCGCAGGAGACGTCAACATTGACACTCAACCTGATACCGATCAGATAGTATTAATATTCCTCTGGATTTTGAAACTTTCCCTTGTAATTCCAGCTTTTTGTTTACCTTTCTGACAAATAATTTTTTATAGTATTTGTGAGACTGTTGGATGGGCACTTGTTAAGTTTTGCATCGGGGTTTATTTATGAAAGGTGAAAGTTTAACTGTCCCATCGGATATTTGTTAACATTTTAATACCAAATTTTGAATTTCATCCAGGCCTTGCATTTAAATAATTTTTTGTGGGCTAGTTGATTTCTGTTCTCTGAATTTTTGTAAGTGGTTTTCTGAACTTTTTATTTAAAAAAGAAACTGATAATATTATAGAGCCTAAAAAGAGGAGTGTTGAGAACTGTGCTCGCCATAGAAACCAAGTAAGAGATAATAGCCAAGGTAGAAAGTGGGCATGAAGATGTCTGATGTTGCTAGGCAGTATAGCTTGAACAGGTCTACAGTAGGCACAATCTTAGCTATGAAAGATATATCAAGAAGTGTCAAGCTGCTAATAGAGTAATGAAAATCACATCTGAGAAATAAAGAGCATTTTAGAGCTCATAATGGAACCTGAAACTGATCTGATGATAGAATAACTCCAGGGATGTCAGAACAATGATCATCCAAGTGGCATCCAAACCAGAATAAGGTTAATGGGGTTGTGGATCTCTACAATAACAATACTATTAATTACTTCCAAAAAATCCTGAAGGAAAGAGAAAAGCAATCGACATGGACAGATTCTTTAACCCCCACAAATGGAAAAACATGACTAATAAAAATGCAAGACTACATATACAGGTAACCCCCGTATAACACGGCACTTCTATAGCACGGATTCGCTCTAACACGGTTCGAGAATTGGTACCATCCCCCGTATAACACGGCACTTCTATAGCACGGATTCGCTCTAACACGGTTCGAGAATTGGTACCATCCCCCATATAATACGGTACTTTTATAGCACGGATTTACTCTGACACGGTTTGAGAATTGGGTAAAACCCTCGTACAACAGGAAATGTAATAAATTTTTACATACTTAAGTAATAATAGTTCACGAAAATTATTATTTTCATGAACTATTAGTACTTAAGTATGTAAATTTTCTCTTCTCGCCATCTGTCGATATACGTGGTCCTTCTTGAAACTTGTTTCAATGTTGCCAGATC